GGTTAATTATTTCAATGTGTAATTTGTATGAACACTAAATTCGCACACTTTTGGATAATTAGGCTATTAATTGTGTTATTTTATTTTATTTTTTGATTCCTGATGAAACCAACACTGCTACTCGATGATCCAAGGGCTGCGATGTCTATGGAAATATAATTTATATCAAGTATTAACATTTACCATGAGACTTAATCAATTGCCTCTTTATTATTTGTAAATATAAAATATGGATACTATACCATTGTAATAAATGTACTTTGGGTTGGTGTTGAGAAATCTGTTAAAATTTAAAACAAAATTAAGTGCAACTGTCCCTTATCAGCGTTTTAACACAATTTTTCCATCTATTTCGTAGCAGTGGTTTATTCAGTGCTTGGTAAAAAGGCAGTCACTATACAGACCAAGCTATTATCTGTTATAGGCGTCAATTTTTTAATGACTCCGTGGCGTAGTTGCCAAGGTATTGGCTTCGGCGTCGAGGGTCGTGGGTTTGATTCCCACACGGGACAACTATTGATGTCACCCTCAGATAATTGTTCCGAATCTGGGTGTTAGTCCGCGTGAAATTTATGTTTGTAAAACGTGCTTACAACACAGGATAATATTATCCTAAAGTAAGGGCAATGTTTCTTTAAAAAAAAATATGGACACTTCCATCAAGATATTCTTTTTTTTATACTTTACATTGACACAAACATCTGTTACTTCTTGCCTGAATGGTTATATATAAATATATTTTACTAGCAATACTGTTTATATTTTGACATACACCTCAAATCTGATGATTATATTTTGTAGGCTGTACGCACATGTACAGTCCGAAAATGAACCAAAAAATGCTACAATACAGTCAATAACACATTTAATCATAATGTGTGATTGACTGTATTATATGTGTATATATATGTAGTTGAAACTATATTTTCTTTTAATTGGACATTACTCCTTTAAAGTTATTTATTTATTATTAGTTTTTTTGAAGGCAACACAGTAACTGACTGTGTAACTGATATAAATAATGCCGACTTACGTACGTCGGGCAAAAACGAATATCAATCTCTACGTGTCATAAAACGGAGCGGGAAACGTGACATATCACAAAAGTGCTGGACGTCCATTTAACGGGGATAATGCAAAGCGCGGGCGAACGTTTGAGAATGATAAATCCTCGGTAGTTTCTAAGGGCGATTCGTTCCGATCGCGCGATCTGGTACGGCACAAAGGCTTACCGGGTTCGCCCTCGTCTCCACATTGGGACACGGCAATAGGGTACCGTGAAATCACGACCGCGACGAATCGCAGAAAAATCACGGTTTTTCGGTCGTTTCTTCGGAATTTGTACGGGCTTTCTTCGCCGATTCGTCCCGCCGAACTGGCGTCGGCGTCACATACATGTGGCCATTGATTGTAGGTGGCGCGTTCGCGGGTGATTTCACGGTGCGCGACGCGTTACATTGATGTTGACTTACCTTCCGTCACAGCTGCTCGTTATTGATTTTGCGCGGTGACTCCGGAGGATTTTGGCTTGTACTTCTCGTGTATTTAATGGCCCGAGAAACGGCCTAGTCGGTAAGAGCTGAAGCCGATGATGAATTTTGTTGCACGCCGACTCGTCCGCTATACTTTATGTACGATTCTCTACGTTTGTAGATATCGTGGTGGCGCAGTAGTTATTGGCCTAGGCAGCGGTGGGCGTGGGTTCGATTCCCATACAGACAAGTATTTATGTGACCCATAGACAATTGTTCCGGATCTGGATGTTAATGCGAAGAAGATCACTTTGTCACTGACTGTTGGTCATCAAAACCCAGCCATCAATACATGATTCACATGTGTGCCCACCCACCCTAAGAAGGATAAGGGCAGGGTAGATATGATAATGCTACAGTAGAGACAGTAACCATTTATGCGGTAAAGACTCTCAATGTCAAGGATGGCTCAACTAGATATATGCCAAGACTTTACTGACGGTCTTGACGGACTAGCTACAATAAAGACAGAAACCACTTACGTGGTAGACTCTCAAATGTAAAAAATGTCAAGAATGGCTCGACTAAAGATATGCCATGACTTTATAGTAGGTCTTAAAGGACGCAACAGATTAAGAAAAGAATATTTAACATGCTTTGAACTTGGCATCTTCTGAAATTTCACTCATAGTTAATAACATTATTTTCACTTTTCCGTTCATCACTGGACATTTTTTATGTCAGAACGTTTCAGTTAGCTAGGTGTTCACTTCATGTTAAGTGATAACCGTCGCTCATGCACATTTGCAACACCCGTAGTGTTGCACATGCGTTACCTGTGAGGTCGTGGTATTTCCCCGGACGGACCTGCCATTTGTGCAACAGCGAAGGCTGTTGAATGAACCTACAATAGGAACTTAAAATTAAGTCGATAAAAATTTCATCAATATTTAGTTCTAACAATGTAACTGTGAGTTTCCACGGTTAAAACTGTTTTCGCTCAATTTTAAAGTAAATGAACAGCCTAACATATATGTTACAGTAGTCTACCATGCGGCCCTAATGCGGATTGGAAAACTCTACACATCTTCGGAACGTTTTTTTTAAAATTATTATTTCGAAATTATTCACTTTTCCCTGGTACGATTTTTTCGTTTACCGCCAAGCACTTGATCAACCAGTACTGAAAATTACAATTAATAATTACAAATTTTTATTAATATTTGACGACTATTAATATTTGAACTCAGGTTTCTCAAGTGTACGAGATTAAAAGTGAAATTAATAATTTTACAATATATTTAAGCACACACGCACTTAGTAAGAAGCGATGGGTACTGGCCAGCTAACCGTACGGTAGGATTTTGGCGATGAGTAACAGGGTTATATTTGATAAGCATCTTACCTGAAACTGTCACGGAGACTTGTTGCGGGAACACATCTTTTGTGATAATTAATTTATGATAGTTAAACTTAACACCAGAGTTACTGATGGTCGATATAATCATACCGCTGGGAAAGGGAAGGCATTTAGTTATATGATTAAACTAGCTGCTGCCCGCGACTACGTCTGCGTAGAATAGGCTGAAGGCGTAAGTTTCAGACAGAAGGACAGATATACATAAAATATGAATATAAATTATAGCCTATGTCTTATTCTGATGTAAAAGCTATGTTATTGTAAAGTTTCATTAAAATCCGTTCTGTAGTATTTGCGTGAAAGAGTAACAAACATCCATCCATACATACAAACTTTCGCGTTTATAATATCAGTAAAGATCATCAAGGATGAGACGCGACATTTATTATTGTGTAAGACGTTGAAAATGTACTTTAATTTGTAAGTGAAGCATACTTCAATTAAAATTTAAATTTTTCTTCTAATAGGGGCTGGTTTCCTTTAAACCCTTATTAAACTTCCATTATTAAAACCGATGAGTCCGTCCCTAACTGTATATACGATATACAGATATTTTTGTTCTTTTTCTACGCAACATCAATTTTGTAAATTCAACAATATTCAATATTCATCATTGCGAGTTAACTTCATTCGTAATATGGAAAATGTTTTAGTGAAATTTAGCGGCATTCAGTAACATATTACCAAAAGGTTTGAAATAAAAATAATTCACAAATTGTAAACTTAAAAATTTGTCAATGTAAGAATTATTATGAAAAAAATATAACCCAAATAACTTATTTATATTTAGATATAAAGTATAGAAAAGTACATGATAAAAATTTTATGTGTCAATTGCTGTAGAGACTATAATATAATAGTTAATAATTTCACTGTCATAATAATCATGTCGGTATTGTAGGAATGTGGTTTAAAATGGGAAGAAAAAACAATGAAATATTATTAATTAACTTTTATTTAGACTCGGAGATCAAATGAAAGTCTTTCAAGTACTTATTCAATATCAGTCTACAAAAATGGCTTAGTAATCTAATGATAAAAAATTATAAGATACAATAAAAGTTCAACTTATTCTAAATAGTTGGAAGTTTACAAAAGTAACTTAACTTAAGCAACTATATTTGTAATAAAAACTTAACAGCTAAGAATCGCATGCAATGGAAGATATCTAGGTACTAAACTACTAGATAGAAAATAATATTTCTAACAATTAAGATTGGCACGCTCGGCCTAATTTTACTAAGAATGTTCGTAATTCGAAGGAAGTACAAACACAAAAAAGCAAAAGAACAATCAATTATAGTTAAAAGCTATACTTATCAACTATTAAAGCTTCTCTTGAAACGTATGTATTTATACGTGTATTACATGTAACTTATTAGCTCGGTATATGCATTTATAAAGAATAAAAGATATTTTCTATTTTAAATCACCGTGGCCAATAAAATGTACGTATTCTTAACAACTAGTAAAACAAATGCACATACCGAGCGAACTAGAAATAAATCAGATTACTATATCTTAGATAAAACAATTCAATTGTTACAACATTAAAATCTCTTAAAACTAATTAAAGCTTTCATTCATGTGAATATTTTTAAAATCACAGACAAACCTACAGACTAATGGAAGACTTTGATGATTAAAACGATACTAAACAAAGATTACAATGGAGTAAGTAGTGTTGAAAACAAGTAGCTATCCGGTTATTGGTGCGTTGATAATTACAGTGCAGTGGGGGCTTTAAAGCTGTCTACCAAAACATGCTGTCGAAATTTACACTGTTAAATTAAATCAAAACATTAATTTAAATGGATCGATGGTGCGCTATGTACCTCTTCAATCGGATAAAGCTAAGGATCACAGACGTATTGAAAACAAAAATCACAACTATGCGACTGCATTCGGCATTCTGCACCATCGACCCAACACTAAGTCTAATGGAAGACGTCAACGTACTATGCGATGCGAGCACGCGCTTAATCTACACGTTGGAAGACACGATTTTGTTTTCACTGCGCTAATAGTATCGTACTTAAATTTTGTGATCATCGAAGACGGGAATCGGAGGAGCGATGGTTGCGATCCACGCTAATTGTACGCCGTTATTGACAAAGTTTACATACGAAACAGCTGGTCTTGGTCGCCGTGTAGCAGATTTCGCGGACTTCGTTCGCCATATTGTCGCTGGCTTCCTCGGCGACGAGCTCGTAGCGGTTGCTGTTGAGGATGTTCTGGTTTTCAGCGTTGTCGTTCTCCTCGACGGGAACCGGTTTAACCGGGCTTATTGGATAGAAGTATTCGGAGAACGGTATCAAGACAGGTTCTTCGGGATAAGCAGTCTTCTGCGATGGCAGGTCAGCGCGGGCCGATGTGTTGGAGATCAGCTCTCCAAGTTTCGACCAGCACTTGTTAAGATTAACTCGCGTCGAGGTCGCCACTCTCCGCGGGAGCTTCGGCTTAGAGCTCTGCAATGGGAGAAACAGGATTACTTATGGCAAATCTTTAGTGCACAACAATAAGCAAAGTAAAATTTAATTCATTCTTTTCATTTAATACGAAATCATTTATCAAAAACTTTTTTAATAAGGGTTAATGTTAGCAAATCAGAGGTTTCTATTTACCTGACGGTTTAAGAGCTTCATCCAGGGTGAGCGGGGCGAAACGGCCTCCTTTTGCGGCGATGGCGACCCGTCTTTAGCGAGACACATTGTTAAAAAATTTACAACTAACTCTTAAGTAAACTTAGTGTAACAGATTACGACTACGTATTTACAGAGGGCTAAGGAGCGACGTGCACGCGCGGAGCGTCGGCCGGGAATGATTGGGACAGGAAGGGCGCGGGGCTTATATAGTGGGTGCCTATGAGGCGCGTGCGACAGGGGCAGCGCGCGCTCAGCACGCGAGCGTTGGCGCGCGCGCGACGACCGGTTTTTACCGAGAACTCTACGAATAGGCTTTGACGTGCCGCGACTTAGAATCATCATCACATCACTTCGGCTAGCCCTTGTTCATGACGTCCTAGTACCTATGCACTACTTAATTCAAACTTTATCTACAACAAACATACACACACAATCAACAAATGGCGTATGAGAAAATTAGGTAGAGCGTACTTGACTTGTTATTAATTAACAATAACTACAGCTGAGGATTTTTCATGATCTCCACACTAAATCCTGACAAAATGTTTGTTAACTAAATATTGATAAGGCAACATCAATATTACCAACCAATGGTACTCCACTGCTGGCCTATCCTAAGGCTCTCCCTCTGAGTAGCTATACGCAATAGCTACCAGCAGGCTATCGTCGCTTGCGGAAATGGCTTAATCGGTTATTATTAGATAGAGTTCGCTTGAAAGCGCTTGAAGCTGCGTATTAATTGCACAGTTGTGCCGGTATAATCTAAGTCGTTGGTATGCGGCTTGCATAACTGCCGAGCGTGTACTGCCTTCCGCCGTCGGCCGCCTTGCAAATTCTAAGCGGTCATGAGCCGTCCAGCTGTTCGGAGAGATAGGTTCCTTCGCAGATTTATCATAGCGCGGCCGCGTCGTTTCCTGCGATTAAAGCGCCTTTGAACCGGATTCGGTCGCTCGCAAACCACGCGCGGCGTACTGATAAATCATTTCCTCCGATCACCGCGAGGATGCACGGACAATTATTTTAATATGCACGCGGGGACAACATCACTTTTTGCATATTAATCTCTTGCGTACTCAATCACAGCGTAACTTGTATTAAATTGGTCCGTTCGACGATATCTCATAGCATAATAATTTCGTGTATTTACGAGATTAAACATTACTAAATGAAACTATGTTAATCGGGTTTATCTCGTTTATTTTTAGTTTTAATTCGCGACGTTTCATTCAAGGCCTCAGCCAGACCCGTGACCATGAAAGCTGTAAAGGATTCGGAACTTCGTACTAGCTGCTGCCCACAACTACGTCTGCGTAGAATAGGCTGAAGGCGTAACATTCAGATAGAAAGACACATATACATAAAAATATGTATATAAATTATGGCCTATGTGTTATTCTGATGTATAAGCTATATTATTGTAAAGTTTCATTAAAATCAGTTTTGTATTATTTGCATCCATACATATAAACTTTCGCCTTTATATATTAGTAAGGATTGATTAGAATGCGATGAACGGCCGAGAACGCTACGCTCGTAGACATGTCGTAGAAGTAAATAATCGAAATTTTAGTATTGAATAAATAGTATTACTATGACAGAACAATTTTAGTGCTATTCGTTATTTTGTTTGAATATTTAATATTGAAATAAGTCACTGGATAAATTTGAATAAACATCATTTTTGAAAAATAATCTATTATTTATTCTATAATAGGTATTCATAAAATTGCTAAGATAAAGCACTAAATCCGTGCCTCCAGTTATCGCCCGATGAGGTTTATTTTCAACGTAAAAGTACATAAAAAAGCATCTTAAAAATGTTTAATAATCGTCTAACAAGATATCCTAGGCTTTTTTTACAAAATCTATTTTAAATATTTTATACATTACTAGCGGACCCAAGAGACGTTGTCCTGTACACGCGACTTAAATCTGACAACAACTTATAAATAAAAAAATGCAGTGGACCGAATTGTTAATCTAAATTCCAAACCATTCTCGAGTCAACCTGAATTCACACAAAAAATTTCATTAAAATCGGTCCAGCCGTTTAGGGGGAGTTCAGTGACATATACACGTACAGAAGAATTATATACATAAAGATAAACAATAAAAAAATGTAACTGAATGATATTAACTTAGAAATAACTTTCACTGTAATTGTTACAATGAAACTTATTTCTAATAAGAATAGTCGACAATGAATTAAAATCTAATTTATGCAAAGCTTGATTCATAACTGAGTCGTTTTTTTATCAGATTATTTAGATTACCTTAGCAGAGGTATATATTTTTTAACGTCTGTTTTTAAATCTTACTAGAATTTTAACCTTTGTACGAGCTTTATAAATATACAATTTAAATAAATCCAAATAATACAATAATAATAGTTTCACTATATGGGAGAGGCCTACGCTCAGCAGTGGACTCAAACAGGCTGACATGATGATGAAATAATACAATTTTCACACGCAATCAAATCAGATTTTCGAATTGTCAGTGTCAAATAATTTACCATATGATACCTATAATTAAAAGGTCATTGACCCTTACGTTACATTTTAATTTAGTCCAAGTCACTCTTGTCAGTAAGCATCTTTCGTTTAAATATTTTTTGAATTCATGAATTATTTGAAGGTCGTAATAAAACAGAATTGATTACAAGCAAATTGGTTCATTTCCGTTAGTGCGCAACCGATTATTTGAAGAGTCAAAGGTTTATAATTATTTACACTTTATTTACATAGATTTACACTTTGTTTACATAAATTTACTTATGTTAGCTGATCGTTGTGTTGTGACAGTTACATGTACGTTTCATGTATAAGAGTTTCTTCAAAGAATTGAAGCAAGAGCGACATCACTACATAGTATAAAACAAAGTCATCCCCCTGTCTGTCTGTCTGTCCTGTGTATGCTTAGATCTTTAAAACTACCCAACGGATCTTGATGCGGTTCTTTACTCGATAGAGTGATTCAAGAGGAAGTTTTATATGCATCACACCCGTGCAAATCCGGGGCGGGTTGCTAGTCACTAATATTATACTATACTTTACAGCTATCGAAAAAGTACGATTTAATTATAGTTTACATGCATTGTCCGACTAGTCATTATTTTTCATTTCTTAACCAATGTCGGTTAAGAAAACACGTGCACAATTAACACTCAGCCCTACGTCGTAATTGTTTTTTTTTTCAATTCGGCACAATTCCAACGCAACTTGAAATTTAAGTTGTCAGAGTGATTTATGACAGTTGCTCATTATTGAATAAGCCCCGATTGAATTCCGCATGTAAATTCATTCAGCATTATCTTAATGACAGTGTTAACTAGTTAACATTTTTCAGATGAGTTAGTTTGAAACCGAAAAGGTGTTTATCATACTTTTCGAATAATTTCTCAATCTTATATTTAAATCTACGATATGTACTAATTTCACGTTAGTTATATGACATCTTAAGTGGAACAGTTGGTTTTCTCATGAAAAATTTCCAAGAGCAAAGAAACCAAAATTTTCTTTTATTAGAAGTACGTAACGTATTGAACGTTATATTTTCCTGAATATTTCTTAACAGTTATATAACGGACCTGTACAATATGTCTATATTAAATGTTATTCAATATTCAAATTTTCATAACACTTCAATGAAGCGAAACTTAATCAACGCCGTGATCAAAAGTTGTCGTAATTGATCTCCTCACACTCTCCAAAGAATTTATCATAACATAATACTTTCGGTAAAAGAAAAAAAAAATGCTAGACCACAACCCGACCACGTGCAGCCTTTGGCTGTCGAAAAAAGAGGAATAAAATCTTCAGTTTTTTTGTCCCGTCCCCCACGCTGGGCAGGGTTACAACGAATGGAACATTGTATTCTCAACTTTAACGTATCACAAAGTATACACCAATAATTACGCGTGACTTTACCACGTAGAATGAAAAATATAAAACTGGAAAAGGTTTAAGTTAACCAAAGGTGTAGGTTATGTGTAAAAAAAAAACTCTTATATGATTGGACATATTAAATAAATAAAACAAATTGGCGCCAAAACACTTTCTTTTTCTAGAACAACACTAAAGAACTCGTCTGCTGTTAGACAATTTTTCGATAATGAATTTATTTGGACATCATTTTTTCTGCAGTTTGATAAAATAGGGTCACCACAAAGAAATCATAGGAACGTTTGTGCGTGCCCGCAAGTTCGTGTGCACGGAGTGTGCCCTACGCGCGTATGACGCGCGGCGTTGTCTACCTCTGTGGAGGATTTACGCCGTCATTATGGCAGCGATTTCGGCTTATTGTGCCCGTTCGAATGTCGAAAGCAGTGTATCAATACGCCATTGTTCCGCGGCAACAGGTATTCCGAAGCCGCGGCGGGAAATTTTTCGAATGACACACGTTCTTTTTTCGAACGCAAACGACGAATAATTAAAGCAATTTTTTATTTGGGAATATTTAACTAAAGTAAAAAGTGTTATGACGATGATTTTTTTAGAGTTATTTATGAGTATGGCTATAAATTTATAGTAAATTTAGTGATACTGAGATAGATAAGTGGCGGACTCACCTGGACATAAATGTAAAAAGTAATTATGTTATTTATGTCACTGTATCAATATTTACAGGATGTAACTACAATGAATACTTCTAAACATTCACGGGGGGAAGTAATTCTAAATATCTTTTATTTTTTAAGCTTTAAATGGCGAATTTTCAATTTATTGATATGAAAATGTATATCTTTTTTGGTTATAAAGCGAAGAATAATATTATCTTCACATTATCACACGCGCAAATAATATAAGTTAATCTGTAAATTGTTACTAAAGAGACGCCACATCAAATGAACACTGGACACAAATATTAACGCGTTTTCTCTGCTTGGCTCATCACCAGCCCCCAAGCACTAACCGGCTGTTTATTTATCAAACAACATGTGCATTGCGGGCCTTCTGTAAAACAATCACGCGCGCAACACGCGTCGCCCCTTGACAACAATGCATTCCTGTGCCACGGTATGACATGCGGGTCGCAGGCCACGGCCCCTATTTGAAGACCCCAACTAAGCAAATTAAGGAAAACACACGTTAACATGGCGTGATTTAAAACTGACACTAATACCTACCGATTATATTATTCGTTCTTGTAATTCTTTGTAATAATAATGATAAGAATAAACTCATTAATCAAATGTAAAAATAAAAACGAGACGATAATAATTATTCATTTTTCACATTGACGACTAGTGAAAAACACTAAGTAAGTGAAGCTGTATGATCTTGACATTTACATTATCACTTGTCTGTAATGTAATTTTAAATCTGTAATGTCTCTAAATAAAGAATATGATTTTTAAATAATATTAAATAACAGTGTTTATTTGATGTTTACAGGGAAAGCTTTTTAAAGTTCGAATAAGATTCTTTTGTTTTCATAGACCTTCATAATGACATGAGCTACGAATTTTGTCGCGCTATTTTAATAAGTCAAATATTTTATAATGAACATGATTAATGTGAATCGAATGAAACATAAGAAGAAAAAGCAAGCTTTTTGTTTTAATTATTTAAGGCGCCATTACACTAGGGCTTTATACTCGTGGGCAGCGCGCGCCGCCCATTTGGATAATGCGTTGTGTACACTGGACGTGTGCCACTAGTTTGTATGCGGCCTGTGGACAAACTTGATTGATTGCCCGCTATGTGCTTAGAGAAAACAAAAAGTACATCGGGATTTTGTTTATAGTAACGATGGAAGACTTATCTAAAGACCAGAGGCGTCATTTATTGGTTGGAGAACCGAATAATTTTACATTAATTGTACTAACGTTTCACATTCTGTTTACCCAAATTACTTTATAATGCAATGTTGTGAATTTTTCTAATAATTTACGCGCGATTCCCTAAACTATTCTTTACGTAAATCATCCGTCAGTGCTTTCTATCAAACAACATCTGTTAAGACATGTGAACGAGGAGAACGTAAAGCAGAACGTAAACAGCCCTTTTACGGACACTTGCTTGAGTAAATCCTGTAACGAGAGATGGGCAACACACGCGTAACCGCGCACACACGCTGCACACGCGCACGTACGGACGCGCACGCACACAGCGCGCCGGCATCAGGCGTACGGACGCGTGCGGGGGCACGCACACACGCGCGCGCCTAATCGGCGCTTTCCTCCGCGTGGCGGTCGTGTGTGTAACATCCCCGTTAAGGGGCGCAGGTGTTGGCTGGTGAATGACGCTGCCGTGGGAACTCGGGGTTGTGCCGAGTTCCCATGAGCGCCGCCACCTGCCACCTGCCGTACTACGCATAATTCGCGCTCGTAAATGAACGGTAGTGACCACGTGTTCCAGCCGATCTGCCCTCTCGCTCGCTCGCGACGCGGAAGACCGGTGGGCCCCAATTAATTCTATCTTAATGACACCGACGCCTCATTGGCGATGCATTGAGGGTGCCCCGATCGATTTCTCGACGTTAATCGATTAAAATCATCGCGAGGACTATTAGAATTGCTAACGGAATAGCACTGACCGCTCCATTATCCCGGCGCGGTCTAACGATGTTGTTTTTATGACTATGTTAGCTTTGCTGAACGTTGATCAACGACGCCTTTTTTAATATCGCGGAGTGATTCGTGACGTAGAGATATGATCACATCGCGATTACGGTTACGATTTCTTAGAACATTCATAGGTATACTTTCCTAACAGATGGTCTCCTCGATTTACTATTATTTTGTGTTCCACTACATAGTATAAAACAAAGTTGTCCTGCTATCTGTCTGCCCTATGTATGCTTAGATCTTTAAAACTATGGAACGGATCTTGATGCGGTTTTTTCACTGGATAGATTGATTCAAGCGGAAGGTTTATATGTATAATGCATTGCACCCGTGCGATGCTGGGACGGGTCGCTAGTTGTAAAACAAATTATAATGGTTCACATGAGATGTCAGAATTAATTTACAAAAGCGAATTATGCCAATTTCTAATGCTTCGAGCTCCAATAATTAAATACGGTGTTATGTACTTTATAATTTATACATTTGATAACTGTCCCGAGATTATCAGCTTGTTTTTTTTTAAAAAAAAACGAATGAGCACTTGCCTTATATAAAATCCAAAAAAGCGAAACGTAAAGTACTATTGTGAACCGATCTTGTATTTATTTATTATCTTGTATTTATAATTATAGGATTGATTAATTATGTTTTTGATTGTAGCTTATCACTCAGCGGCAAGGAATTGTATGATTTACGTAATTATAAATCGTATAACTATAGACTATTAAAAATAGAACGATCATAGACAATACAAAACGACAATACATAGATTATTAACTTATTGTTTTTCAAACACCGAATCATCAAATACCAATTACCTTCCTTGTATCATGAGGGTGAAAAATCCTGTAACATTATACCCAATGTACCATATAGAGATATTTATTAACCATAACGACCCCATGTTCTGTTCCCTTTACACCCTAATCAAGAAATTATACGCTGACCTACAAATCGTTCCGGTATTGACTCTCAATTGTTCCCGTAGTTAGAACCCTCTCATACATAGAGTGGGGGGTTGAGTTATGGCGCGTGCGCAATAACTGTAAGCGGCTAAATTTATACTAACCAAACGGTCAAGATAACAATGCGTTGTTTTGTTTGCTTATGGTGTACGGTATAGGTCTCAGCGGATAAACTGAAAAATATTTTTTAGGTCTCCAAGGGTTACAGATCACAATTTCGTTCAATAGAACACCAGTACCCGTCAAGCATAATTGGTAAGGCTGTTGAAATGTGTATTTTACAACCTTTCAAGATGGTTAAGTTCTAATACCAGTTTAGCAGGCAAATGTTAGGGTCCAAATAAAACGTTGTGGAACACTAACATAAGAATGTATTGTGATATAGGGTTTTACAATTATTTAAGACTTGTCAGATCGCGTCTCTCTCTCTGTTCTACCATACAGTTACCAGTTAACATGCGTGGACATCTGCCTCAGTATGAAGTTTTTTTAAATGTGAGAAAGCTAGCCACCTTCTGACATGAACTGGCGGTTCCATCGAAGTGCTAACCACCGACCTTGGATATTTGCCACCATTTAATGAAGTGCATGCTTCCCCTTCACGCCGGTCTTCTGTGAGGTCGTGGTACTTTTCCGGACGGACCTGCCCATTCGTGCAACAGCATAGACTGTTGCGTGCCCCTACCACAGTTTTTGCATAACTCGTTTGCCAGGATTTATATGGTCCGTCAAATAACATAACCTAAATGAGATGTATGTTATGATATTTGACTCAACATAAGGTTATTAATTTGAACTATGGACTTACTTAATAAGAAATAAAGAGCCGTGATAGCTCAGTGTCCGGGCGCTCGCCTTTAATTCAATATACTCGAGCAACCTGAGTTCGATCCCAGGTGCCGGCACCAATGAAGTTTTTAACTTTAAGTGCTGACTTATCACGTGCTCCGCGGTGAAGGAAAACATCGTGAGACCTGCATATTTTCGAAATAAAAAAAAAAAATATATATTTTTCGAAGATATGTGGAAGTCCGCCAATCCGCAGTGGGGCCGCGTGGTGGACTATGCCCTGATACCCTCTGTATAGAGGAGGCCTTTGCCCAGCAGTGGGACATGTATAGGCTGTTAATTTTACTTTACTTACTTAATTATATGTATCCCGGACTGATATAGATAAATTAATATTAATCCAATGACGACCCTAAAGAAGGAAAAATACATCCGTTTTAGAAACATTTGCAGTTTTAAGAAACCATAATAGACTCTTGCACCTTTTATAAATACATGTATTAATAATTATATTACTACGATGACATATGCGTTATATGTGTGATTTCTTTTCTATCACTGACTCGTTAACAACCGTTTCTGAGCTCGTTTAATTATAACACATCTTATACATTAATAAAAAATTAATATACGATTTTGTCGGTTGATAATTATGTTAATGCAAACTTGTTCTTGGCGGAAGAGTTAGCGTAAGTAAAACCAACTACGGATGTATGTAACATGCCTAGAGTCGTAAGCATGTTTATAAATTGAATATTTTCAGCAAACTTTTAATATACATTTTAAGTATATAGGATGTATATTTTAATTATAACAGGAGTTAATAGTGTTTTTGATTTTACGTGCATTTGATGTGTTTCTAACATTTTGGAGTCCATGGTCAGATTTAGACCACAATTCAAGGAAATAAAATACATAAATAATAATTTTATTATAAATTAATCTTTAAGATCTTATCACTGACTGACAATTACATTCACACGTCCAACGCGTCAGTCTATCGAGTATGAACGCTGTAAAGGGTTCAAAACATAGGAAATTAAAATTAAAAACAAACGCGATATATCCGTAAATAATTTCGTTTCATTATGTGTAATTAAGTAAATAAATGGGGGACGCCTATGTTCAGCAGTGGACTCAAACAGGCTGAAATGACGATGATAATGAAGTAAATAAATTAAAATAATCATTTAATTTAGGACTTGAGAATCCATTTTCTAATATCTTTATTTGCCGCATTCACAAACACTGGATGGATAAGTAATTTTAAGATTAATAGAATTAAAATTTACCATGAAAATAACAAAGGGTTTTGTAATTGCATATACCTATTGTTTAAAATATAACCTATAAAGTGAGTAAAATTCGTTTCATTCATGAAACAACGTCTTGGGTACTGGTTCTCTCTTAATGAAAGGAAAATTAATAAACTTCTTCATTAATTCTTAGCAACTATAGAAATGTTTATTTCTGGCGTCGGAATAACTACTGAAAAAATTGACTGCAGTGGACTGTAATAATTTTTTTTCGCTAACCGCACATCTCTCCAGGTGTTCCTTGTAATGATAAAGAATTATCCAGGCGGTCGCCTTACTAACGCCTCAGCTAGTGGTAAAAGTATCGGATGATACTCTCACGATTTTATGGCGCGTTCGCGAAAATATATTGTGACATTAAAGGATTCAGATTTAAATTATGATTTAGGTGCAATGTTTGAAGTGATCTGAACACATTCAAAGGCTTCACGACTAATACAAAATGGAACCTTTATTGGGGTTTTATCGCGTTTATTTCGATTTTTAATTTACAACTTTTCATACTTTTTACAGCGTTCATGGTCTAGACATAGACTTGCTAACAGATTCAATTTACCGACTACGAGCCACTACTACAAGGCAATCATTGCAGTAGTGGCTCGTTTGGGCCCAGATTTAATTTTATTATTGAGAGGATCCTAAGCCGATGTTCCTCTCCTCTCCATTCAAGCTCTCTATTGAAATTAGGGTGTTTTTTTTAATTTCAATGGCCTTGGGAATCATTCATGGCAGGATCTGTGATCTATGAAACGTGATATATATTGTTTCACGATCCAATTCATGCTGGGAGTAGATGTTTTGGTGACACAAATACAAGTGAGTTTATATTTCTTACATAAAACACAGATAATAACACTTTTGTATTATCCATTATTATATACTAAAGTTATGCCATACTACTGTATCCAGTAAGAATTCATTTTGTATTGAGTTTGGTTACTATCTCTTATATTAGGAAATTTATGGGCTTAGGAAGCAATTAAGTAATAGTTAAAATGAATACGTGTGTTGGTAAGGTTAACTGACTGAATGACATACATAAATAAACTACGACGTGTGAAATCTCTACTATGGCCATAATAAATGAGGCAGGTTTTAATTTATTACCAGTATTAGAATTCGTTTAGCTAAGATAATAGTAAATCTAAGTTACAAGAACCTTTTAGACTACACAAAGATTCGATGGGCATAGAGATCTTGTATAGACTAAGTTTTACAGTACAGAAATTGTGTCGGTATTGTCAGCGCGAACTTTACATTACCAGTCCATGTTATTTATATTTAATATAGTTAATGCTTTTAATACTAGTAGACCATGATGATAAAAGCAGAAAATAACAACGACAATAACATAATAACATAATTTGCTTCTTTACTTTTATGTATCATAATATTTAATATCCCTTTTATTGTGCACAATCTGCTGTCGTATATCTCATGTTAATTTCGCAATACGTAAGTATAACACAAATAGAAAACTGTATCGTGGTCGAAGATGACAGAGAGTTTTTTAGGTCTATTAAAGGGCGAGCAATAAAAAATAATGGTTTGTAAACATCGTCCGCGAACGCGAAATGGGTATTTACAACATAATTTGCTGTTTTTTGCCATCCTATAGTTTCGCTGAGACAACAGAAAGAATACGATCTAAATTACCGGTTTGTGTACGGAGGAGTAGA